AACAGACAACTTAATTCTTTGGGGCTAGGACCAGATCTTACTGTGAGCTTGCAGGATTTTAAGGGACCCAGCCTGCAGGTGTTGCTACTAAACCAAAAATCAGCTCTGCCTGGGAGGGGAAGTACAACTCACCAACTTGCAGGAGCATCTGGGTATTAAGGTGGTGCAGGTTCTTTTACCTCCTGCTTGTTGCTTTCTGTGGTTGTCTTCCTCAGCTGTCAGTAAGTTATTTGCTAAAGGGTAAAAAAGGTGATGGTTACTGCATGTACTCTAATATGAACACATAAAGCCCTCCTTTGTTTATGACTTGAAAACCTGCTGTTCCTTGCTTGTTGCCTGGCTATCTGCACGTAGCATGGGTCACCCTCAGTCTTTCCCCTCCATCTTTTCCTCCTACCATCCACACACTTCTGCCTTATGCTATTGGTGTCTTGCTATCTTAGCCATGAAGCTTTTTTTTGTAAGACCTAGCTCAGTCCAGCTATTGTAATAAAAATACTATTTTTACTTGTATGCTGGGACTTAGATGTTTTGAGACAATCAGTTTGGTGCAGTATATTATAACTCCCCTGTTAAGCAACATTTGGTACTAGTGTCTCCTACCCGACCCTAACTTCTGCATGGATACACTCATTTTGGTTTCATTCTTTGTTCACTCTTGTTCACCATTATCTGGTAGGTGGAGGGGAGTTCGCATTTAGTGCTCACTCAGTTTTTCACATCTCTACCACGAGCAGTTTCTAAAGCCAATATCTTTTTTCTTTATGGGCTGAGAAATCCATCAGGAAAGGCTTTGTGTTACTCTGTTCCCAGTCATTTTGAGCCATAAAGAGAAGCCTCATCCATTCCTCTTTGAGGTCACTGCATGCGCTGAGTTTTTATGTTCCCCCTCCATCTTCTGTTGCATACACTCATTTCTTCTGCTTGTAAAACACTACCTGACATGTGTGTCTACCTATTCTCCCCTCCCTTCAGCTAAAATGAAAGCTGGATACTCACTCTAGGGGGGAGGCTGTCTTTTTTAGGAGCACTCACTCTGGGAATGTTATCTGACATACAAAATGGAGGTTCAGAGGAGTTCTGTCTGGGGGAGACTGGTTGAGGGAGGTGGCATAGGTAACAGTACCTTGCAGCACAGTGTTCAGAGGCCAGCTGGGAGACCAAGTTTGGTAAGATGGTTTGTACTCAATTTGTTCCCCTTTTTAATATTTTTTACCAGAAACTCAACTTTTATTTTAATTTTTCTTACCATTAGTATCATATCAGTTTGTTCTGATTTCAAAGTCTGCAGGAAAGTGGGAGAAGAACAGCTGAAACTATAAGATTTTCATGTTGCTTCTGAGATTTGCCTACAGTTTTGATTAAAATCGGTTGATATTAAGTATGGAAGCTGCTCTCCCCTCCAAAATGCAGCTGAGTAATACAGCCTTCCTCCACCCAAAACCTAGAGCTAGACTGCAGAGAATCACTTCTTGTTTCCAGGTTTTGAAGCTACCCCTTCTTCTCAGCTGCAAAACATTTTCTTTTTGTAATGCACAGGCCATTTATTCACTTCATTGCAGTGACCTGCTGTCTGTGAAGGTGTTTCCTTTTGCACACAGCCAGCTCTTTAGCATGTAGGTACATTGTGCAATCATTTCTAAAGTTTACCTACCTGGGCACTGAATTCAGGCATGAGAACCTGGACAGTAAATTACGTGTCAAGATTCTGCACCAAAACCACAGGCTTATCAGTGTGATGGAAAATTATCTGAAACCCTCACACTGAATAGGAGGGAAAAAAGTGGATCACAGAACAAATACACAGAGTGTGGGTTCGTAATGTAACCTCGTTGTTGGAAAAAGCTGTATGAGTGCTGGAGTGTGAGACTGGGAGGACGTGGTCCTGTGAACATTTCTACATGTACTAATGTTATATGTAAATAACCTCACTGCAGCTAATGGGGATATTAAAAGTAAAGCATATGCCTACACTCTTGCAGCCCACGTGCTTCTTCCCCCTGCAGCTGACATAGTGCCATGACTTGGCTGTGCTACTAGAGCTTACTGGAAAAAAAGAAAGATGTGAGTCCTAAGAAGAGCAACAAAACCAATTAGGGAGCTGGAGACTGCATGCGGGGAAAGGTTGGGTCCTTGGTGATAAAGTGAGAACGGAGACACTTTGCAAACTGTACAGAGAGAGAAGGGAGAGGGATTCTAGAGAGGTGGCACCATGGGAATTGGCAGAGGGAAGAGGAAATTATGAGTAACAAGTGAAATAAAGACTCAAATATTTCAGGGCTGATTTGCCACTGATAGGAGTTAGCCTGGGGAGCTGATATTTTCTTATAATTTGTGACATTTTTGTTCTGTTTCCTGTCAGTCTCTGACAGTCCTAAAGGACATTGCTTCTGCCTAGAAATGGACAAAATCATCCGCAGTTTGCGGTAAGAGCAAGCATGTGCTAGCCTTTGTTGGAGGGGCTGGCAGGAGCCCCCAGAGCATTTCCAGCTCTTCTGTCTGAAACATTTTCAAAGCGCCTACAAAATACTGGAGCCTTGAATTTCTTTTGGAAAGAATTTCTATGTGATTGACTGGATTTTGCTAATACAGAGTAATGGTAGTGTTCTGCAAGGGATTTGGGAATGTCTCCGTGGAATTCAATGGCAATGAGATAAAACCAGCACTGGCAAATCCAGGACTCTGGAAACCTGAAAAATGGTAGGGGCATCACTGATCTGGGCCTTAAGTTCACAGTTTTCTCTAGTGCAAAGAGAGATCAACAAAAGCAAAAGGGAACCAGGAAGAAGAGACGCCAGAAACAGCTGCCAAATGAGCACCAAGTGAAGAAATTCAGTTTGCTGCAAACACCTTCCACATTTCTGCTGTCAAAAGAGGATAATGATCCGACCTTCTCCTGCTACAGGGAATGCTGCTCTGTGGGTAAGGGCAGCTCTGTTCCCAGGTAGTTCTTCATTTAGCTGTGTTTGCTGAGCAACATTCAGAATCTTCTGCTGAAAAGGATACATTAGCTCAGGAGAGATTAGACTGTTTCTCATCCCCATGCTCATTTGCCTGGACCTAACAGGACACCTCTGCACAGCGCTTCATTCTTCCCCTTGCACCAGTCTCACCAGTCTGTTCCCTCTGTGGTATTTGTTGCTTATATACAGGGACTTTCTCCCACATTACCACTGAGCAGGTTTTACCAGCTGCCTCCACAGGTCAGTCTGTTTGTCCATGGAGATGCTTTTGGCCCATAACTGCATTCTGCTACAAGTTTTACCAAGAGCTGGGAGCCCCTGCAGGGAAGAGCCAGCGGGATAGCAGCTTCTTCCATGTATTGTCCCTACAAGCAGAGGGGGGACAGATCTGCCCCAAATGCCCAGCAACGATTCACTGGTGATGCATTTATTGCATATGCCTCCTCCATCTAAGGAGCAGCCTGGGGGCCTGTTGCTGCAGTTTCCCTTTAAATGTCTTTGCGAAGTTTGCTGTAGTCGGAGAGCTGTTCTGCAGGCACCTGCCCCTTGGGCGGCTGGGGAGCTAGAAGGCACAGCTCTGCTGAGGCCAGCCAAGCTGTCACTGCCTTTCACTGTGGCCAGGCTCTCACGGCAGCCCCTGTCCTGCTCAGCCTTCCGCCAGGCAGCCAATTAGCAAGAAATCCCACTGTGTGGCCAGCTCCAAATGGCCACTGCGCCAAGGCCTGGGCTGACCCACGTCCTGCCGCAGCTGGGCGAGGGCTGCCTCCCACCCTGCTGGCCGGCCAGCCGGAGGGATGTGCAGTGGACGGTCAGCAGGAGAGGGCGGCTGAGAGCCTGCGAAGCTCTGACAGGCGGCCGGACAAGGGGCTTTTCAGGAAGACCCTGCCCGGAGCCCTGAGCACCACAGGTGGGAACGTCTCTCCAGCTGCTGAATATTCATCTCAGCCTGGGCCACAAAATGGGGCAAAGCCAGGCCCAGCTGCCGTCCAGCAGTAGCATGGCCGTGCTGCCGACAGCCAGGAGCAGACTGCTCACTCCAGCATCTGTGCACTGTGTGAGTGAGGCCTCTTCCCAGAGCCAAACCACCAGCTTCTTCGTGGTCTGAGGGCTCAGGGTCTCTGGAGAGCCTTTGTGGCCTTGAATCTTCAAAGGAGCTCTGTGCTGGTGTATTCTGACCTTGCTTTGTGCCTCCAGTTACCTCTTCCTCTCTCTGTTTTTGCTCTCTCAATCTCCAACAGTTTACAGGACTTTGTCAAATCAAAAAGCATACAATGCTCTCAGAGCCCTGCTCCTTTAGCAGGATTCAGTGTGCACCCAGTTCTTCCTCCTTTCCTCCATTCTTTTGTCTCTAGCATCCTTTTTAGGTGGAGTAGCCATAGTCCTTGTGCTGGGAATACCCAGTGACCCAGATGTCAGCCATTCCAGGGTCACACTAGAAATCACAAAAAGGTTTATGACATTACAACTGGGTGCATCTTCCCTAGTCTTTGTGTCTGGTAGACCACTAGCACTTGATTCCTCAGCTATCAAGAAGGTCACAGGCCTCTGCACAGTCTGAGACCCAGCCAGCAGCTCCTTTCAGCCTGTAGTTTTACATGCCTTCTCTCAGTTTCCACCCCACATTTCATTTCTAACAGAGTCTAGGTGACTGGTGGCTGAGCTAAGCAAATGATAACACATCTCATAAGAAGCAAATTCTTGCCAGTCTTAGGATGATGGCAAGTAGGCAGCGGGGTTTAGTGCAGCCGGCTTCTTTCAGCTTCAAGTTGTGTTCAAATGCACGGTCCATGGCTATGGAGTCCTACCCAGCCCATATTTGCTCCTCTTGCAAGATTTCTTTTGACCCCAAGCTTCAAAGCTTTATTGGCTTGTTTTAATATTAAACAATATATTTTAATAATTGCTAAATAACTCTCTTGTGTTTTCCTCTGATAAGAAACAGGCTGTTTCATATCTGTGAAGCAAGGGAACCTTTGTCTCTAGTGAGAGGAGAGCATAACACTCCCCACTTACTGCTGCTGCTTTCTCTTGTTGCAGACATTCCCGTGATCCCTGACTTGGAGGAAGTCCAGGAGGAAGATCTGGCCATGCAAGTGGCAGCTCCCCCCAGGTAAGAGCACTGCCAGGTGTTCTTGAGGCTCTCATCAGCAGTGAGAAATGGCTGGGAAAATTAAAATATATCTTATCTCATGCTCTCTGGTTGTCAGTGGCAGTGCTA